TCTCTTTAACCGCCTCCCGCCCGCCATATAAGGAAATGATGGGCGCAAAGTGGTTCTCTCATTCTGGGAGGACATAATATGACATATGTGTCCAATCACAGCTGATCACATGTAAATAAGGAAATGCCAGTTATCGGCATTTCTCTCCTCTCGAGCTGTCACGCTGACAGTTCTTTAGGAGAGGAAGCCAGTAATCTGCATTACTCAGAGGGGACATGTACACTGATCATCAGGGCACTGATGACCAGTGTAGCCCCATCAGTGCCACCTGTCAGTGCCCATCAATGCCACCTGTCAGTGCCCATCAGTGCCACATCAATGCCACATATCAGTTTCTACCAGTGCACATCAATGCCACATATCAGTACACATCTGAGATGCCTTTCAGTGCCACCTATCAGTGCCAGTCAGTGCCACCTATCAGTGCTGCCAATCAGTGCCATCTATCAGTGCCAGTCAGTGCCGCCTATCAGTGCCTGTCAGTGCCGCCTAACAGACCCACCTATCAGTGCCATATCTGAGTGCTGCCTTTCAGTGCCCATTAGTGATGCCTATCAATCCCAATCAGCGCCTCCTCATCAGTGCCATCTATCAGTGCCCATCAGTGCAGACTATCAGTTCCCATCACTGCAGCCTCATTAGCGCACATCAGTGAAGGAGAAAAATCACTAATTTTCAACATTTTATAACAGAAACTAAGAAAAAAGGTTTTATTTTCAAAATTTTCAGTTGTTTTTGGTTTGTTTAGCGAAAAATAAAAAACCCAGAGGTGATTAAATACCACCAAAAGAAAGCTTTATCTGTCTCAAAAAAAATGAAAAAAACTTTCATATGGGTACAGTGTTGCATGACCGCGCAATTGTCGTTCAAAGTGCGACAGCACTGAAAGCTGAAAATTGGCCTTGGCAGGAAGGGGGTATAAGTGCCCTGTAGGCAGGTGGTTGAGAAGATGAACACAGTCCAATGCAGAAAAACAGTTTTCATCATTCACAGGTGAAATGCAGTAAGCTTGTGCAACCATGTGCTTTCAAAAGATGGAGGATGAAGCTTGATTGCAGATTAGACACACATATACACAGCACACTGTAGGAATTCTACCATGTTTTGACTATTCTGACTCCAACTGTTGTATTAGTGACATCCCTTGCTGAAACCTCTATGTCTGACCTGTACAAGCAGATACAATCCCTGCAGACAGTCTTTATCAGATTGAACTCCCAAAGACCAGCTTTTCTCATCCAACAGGATGTAGCAGACTAATGAAAGAATGGTATTTGCTCAAACAAAACACGGCACTTTCTCCACTGGCACTACTGGCCCCTCCTCTTCAGCAAGTGCCCCCATAGGAAGCCGCTTTCTATGGGGGCACTCGTGCAGACTTGCTCCCAAGCCGTCCTTTCTGCGTCTATTGACACAGACAGAACAGCTTGGCCCTGCCCCCAGCTCCCTCATCACAGGATTTGATTGACAGCAGTGCTACTATTAATCTGCCCAGAGAGAAGGGACAGAGCTAGGAGAGCCTCATCTCTCATGTACAGCACTCAATCAAGAATGGGCTCAGGTAAGTATAAAGGGGGGGGGGGCGCAGAGGGGGATTCAATACAATGCATTAAGGTAAAAACCTTTAGGTTTTAGAACCACTTTAACTATTAGATGATGTCTTTAACAATTGTGAGTGCAATGCATATTGAACACCAATATTCAGTGTTGCCAAAAAATCTTTTACAGTAAATCAAACATTCAAATGACTTTTGTACTGGCAGAAAATGGTACACTGCAGCTGATACATTATGAAAAAAATTATTAAAAAGAACTTATGTTAAAAATGAAAAGGCAAACGTTTAAATGACAAAAAAAAAACATATGATTATACGCTGCCTAATAATGTTCTTTTAAAGAAACCCTTGTTTTAATCAAACATTACATACTGTACATACAGTACCAACTGGGGGACACTATTAAAAGTTAGAGCTGTCAAAAAAGTAAACTTGCATTTCAAAACATATAGATCCTGCAGTACAAAATGTTCTAATTTGTGTAAGACTGAGCTTAAAAGAGAAGTATGGTATTTCTTTTATTTTTTAAATCATACTTACTAGGTGGATGCAGCATTGGCCTGATGCTGCATCTGTCCCCCACCGGGTCTAAGGATGAGAGCCCAGCAATCAAATGACTGCTGATCACTGAGTTCTCACAGCCGCTCTGAGCTGTCTGCTCTGCCCAGGGTCGAACTGACCATTTGGAAACTCAGGCACTGCCCGAGGGCCCGGGGTCAGTAGGGGGCCCCATGAGATGCCCCTGGTACCTTTTTCATAGGCTTTTTTGAGTTTGGGCAAGGGCACAGGGGCCCCATGATCGCCTATTGCCCGGGGCCCCATGAGTTGTCAGTCCACCCCTGGCTCTGCCCCCCCCTTCTGCACTCACTGGAGTGCTGGGCTATAGAGGCTTTTAGCGCTGCACTTTATCTATTTTATAGAGGGGGAGGGAGTGGCTGGCTCAGGCTCTCAGCAGATCGGGATCTTTCCCCAGGCTGGACACGCTGAGTGACGTCAGCCAATAGGGAGCTTCAGCCCGCTGTCAGCTGAAAACGGGTCTCAAGAGTACAGAACAAAATAGCTTTGGCTGTACTTCTCCTTTAAGCCAACGGTCACATCGGGTGTGATTTGGAATGCGAGTTCCATGCCAGGCGACTTGCAAATCATATGCTAAGTTGCACCCTATTGTCTGCTATTAGAGGGGTCATATTGGTGTGGCTCCCACCAAGTTGGAACTGTACCATTTTCTAAAGTAGTGTATGCACTACTTTTGTTGCAATTTGCATAGACATCTGTGTCAGATGTCTTGCAATTTGCACCTCAAATTGGTAAGTCATCCGATTTTGAAATCGTGCAACTTCACCGTAAGTCGCACAATTTCAAAATCGACTTTGATGTGACCGAGGTGTAAATGCAAATTCTACACAGGAATATACTCAAGTGTAATTTTACATTACATGGTGCATTGCCTTGCATCCACTGGACAGTGATTACAGCATATCCCTGCGCTGAGCGAACTATTGGCGTTTTATAAACACTGTATAATAATAATAATAATCCCTGATCTAAAATATTGAAAAGGTATCTCTACGCAGGAACTTCTTGAGAATGCTTATAGTGTTTTTTTATCAAATAACTAATGAGCAAAAGAATGCGAACAAGCAGCATTTAAGGTCTGCCAGCCATTTGAGGAAAGAACTTTGAGTATTGTCATAGCATTCCTCATTAGGTATATGTTATCATTATATTTAGCCGTGCTTGGGATACTTTTACCATCAGGTGAATGCAATGCAGAGATATTGCAGCCATTTAGGAGGAAATCATTTTACGGTTCACAGGTAGGGTCACTAAGTCTCTCTAAATGTCTCAAAGATAACAACAATTCTGAAGTACAAGCCTAAAATTGGCTTGGTCTAAAATAAGGCTTGAAAAAGCCGCTCACCCGCTCGCCAAATGCGAGGAGAAATTCTTGTGTGGTGAGCAGCGAGCACAGATGATGGATGGAGCAGCTGCACCTGCGCTCCAAGCCTCATTGTGAAGCTGAGTTCCGGTTTCCGGCTTCTTCGGCACCGCCATTACACTGGCAGCGCCGCTGAGGGGACAGGTGCAGGAGAGGTCCGCTCTCCTCTGCTGAGAGGAGACACCCTCTCCACCGCCGCGGGGGACTGGAGGAGAGGTCCGCTCTCCCCCACCGCGGGGGACAAGAGGAGAGGCCCGCTCTCCACCGCTTTGGGGGATCACTGTAGAGAAACCACTGCACTGCCCTCACACAGAGCTCAGTGACCTTAGTAGTATACTGCAGTATACCTCTGAGCATAGGACTACAAAGTAAACTGTAAGACACTTGTTATATACTGTTCCAGAACACATTGATTTTCTTTGTATAATTTTCTGCTAAAATACAACTGGACTTTAATAAATTAATAATAATAATATAAAAGTATTATACAAAAATCAGTTTAAGGAAAAACTGCAATAATAACTGAAAATATGTGCTCACTAACAAAAATCATATGTCATATTAAAAAGTCTCTTTTTAAAGATGCAGGAGATAAACAAAAAAATACAAAATGTTCACTACAGGTTTAAAGCTGTAAAACTTGATATTTTGATTGCACCCTATTGCTATTAAGCTATTGCTGTTATGTTTAAATTGACATAATAAAGCTATGTTATAATTGCAGTTTTTTATATTTTGGACTCTTTATTCTAAAGAAAAATGTAATTTCATAAGATTTAAGGGGGCGTGGTTGGGGGCAGGGCTGAGGTCAGGGTTGGGGGGCCAGGCTGGGGGGTGGGGTTGGAGGTGGACCTGGGCAAGGTTGGGTGAGGCAACTGGTGGAGAGTAAGGTTTGCGCCTGGCTAGTAGGTCTAGACTCGAAATTTTAAGCCCTGGTCTAAAATATCTCTAAAGTAACAATAATGTTGATGTGCAGCATGTATTAGCCTTCAAATTAATTGCTTCATCATTGTGGAGCCCCTCGGAGCCTAAGCACTGTTGAGCACTAAACTGGGATAAAGTCCTTGACGCTTACACCACTGATCATGCCAACATTAAACATTTAAATGTTACACGCTTTTCTGCTCACTCAAGCTTTGGAATATTACAGACAAATGGCAGAGGGTGGACCTTAGTTTCAGAGGTATAGATTAAAGTTATACTAAACCCAAGACCCTGCATTCACTATACCTGGTCTCCCACAGTACACACAACATGGAAATGCAATTATTTTAGTAAATATAAACTGCTAAATAAATTCTCTCATCAGCAGTTAGAGCAGTCTTGTGACTTCAGCAGAGCACTGGTTAACCACTTTAAGTCCTGGACACTTTCACCCCCTTCCTGTCCAGGCCAATTTTCAGGGCTATCACACTTTGAATGACAATTGTGCGGTCATGCAACACTGTACCCATATACATTTTTTAGCATTTTTTTTAGACAGATAAAACTTTTTTTGGTGGTATTTATTCACCACTGGGATTTTTATTTTTTAGCTATATAAATGAAAAAGTCCAAACATTTTGAAAAATAAATGTTTTTCTTATACAATTTTAAAAAGAAATGATCTTTCTTCATAAATCATGGCCAAAATGTATTCAGCTATCTTTTTAATACAAAAAAAATAACCGAAATTAGTTTATAACCAAAAATTATAATTTTTCAAAAAAACTTTTTACATTTATTTGTATTTTTTTATATTATTATTTCTGTTTTACCATTCTGTCTACAGTGTTACCATAGTGATACTGTACTACTTGTGGGGGGCGATGAAGATTTATTTATTTTTTTAAACTGATTGCTTTAACACCCATAAAGGCTGTAAAAGCAATAATTTCTTCTTTTCTCTGGCTGCATTCTTGCAGCCATTGAGAAATACTGTGTGAGCTGTGATTGTTCACAGCTTGCCACATGGTACAAGGCTGTTGTGAATAGCCTTGTACCATGTGACCTCTGTGATCATTCACAGATTTCACTAGTAGTAAGCAATGATGCCAGAAGTGACATTTTGCTTACTGCTATTCATGTAATCACTGATTAGCCAATCAGTGATCACATGATCAGGACCTCACACAGAGGTCCCTACAGAGATCGGTGTCTCAGGACAACACAGCAGGCACCGGATCACGGTGCTGCACACTCCCAGGGAGCACACACAGGCAGGGAAGTGGAAGGACATTTATAAACGGCCACACACTCCTGCACTGCTCCCGTCCGGCCATTTATGTACATGGGCTGGACAGGAAGTGGTTAAAGCTTGTAGGAGGAGTTCTCTTTCTGCTCTAGAAGGATGTGAAACCTTTGACCCTCTGTCTGGACAGTGCTGATTGGCCCTGTGCTGATCACATGCACCCTCCCAAGAAAAAAAAAACACTCAATAATAAACCTCTCAAGCAATACACACCAAACTGAGCATGTGCATGTGACTACGGGTTCAGTCTGTATCCGATGGTCATTTCAACAAAAGGAGGGGCAGAGAAAAAAGGATCAAACAGCCTTTTTATGCAATGCAGAGTATTAACCCCTTAGGTTCCACAGTGAGTATAACAAGCATGCTTTACTGCATATACAGACTGATTTTACTGTTGTGGGTTAGTAACACTTTAATCTTGACCTTGACAGAAATTGGACCCTATGTACAACCTGCATCCAAGGACACTGTGCAGACACACTAACATAGACACTACTAGGGACCACAAGGTACAGGACATCAGCACTGTTACTGTACTGTAGTAATGAATAAGACCATGTCAGGTTCATTTCTAATCAATGTTGGATGGCTACAATTATGCCATGCATTAAATGAGCATACAATATAAATGCTGCACAAATGCTTAAGCGTAGCAAGTACATTAGCTTTATGTCCAGTTTAAAGGATATGGGAAAATAAGCAATTCCCTTTAAATTGGCAAAGGGTAGTATACAATCTTTGTACTTTTCCCAGAGGTGCCTACATAATTATACTTGGAAGAAAGTGAATGCATATTTCAGATAACTATTAACACGTAGATTATTGGATAATTAACCACTTGTCCTCCAGGGGATTTACCCCTCTTCCTGGCCAGGTCATTTTTTGCGTTACGTAGCTGCGTTACTTTAACTGACAATTGCGCGGTCATGCAACGCTGCACCCAAATGAAATGTATGTCCTTTTTTGCCCACAAATAGAGCTTTTTTGGTGGGATTTGATCACATCTGCATTTTTAATTTTTGCGCTATAAACAAATAAAGACCGACAATTTTGAAAAAAAAATATAATTTTGACTTTTTACTATAAAACATATCTAGTAAAAAAAAATTTAAAGAATCAAATTTCATCATAAATGTAGGCCAAAATGTATTCTGCTACATGTATTTGCTAAAAAAAATCCCAATACGTACAAATTAATTGTTTTACGTGAAAGTTATACAAATGCTGGTGTATATAGACTGGAATTGTTTTTTTTAATACTAGTAATGGCAGCGATCAGCGACTTATAGTGGGACGGTGGGCATTTTGCCACTGGGAGGAACAGGCTAACTGCCATTGACATCCCCACTGACACTAATACAATGATCAGTGCTAATAAAAAGCACTGACACTGTACTATTGACACTGAGCAGGAAGGGGTTAACATCTGGGACAATCAAAGGGTTAACTGTGTACTATTTTACTGTGTGTGCTCTACTGTGTAAGCACGTTGCTTTGTATTGCTCTGCTATGCAGAGCAATATAAAGCAACGTGCTGATGCTGACAGGGTAGAGATCTGTATTGTTTACATACAGACTTCTCCTTTGTCACTGTACCTCGGTGATTACCGGGTATTGGCGGGAAAACTCTGGCCTGGATCCGGTGATCAACAGCTGAAGCCGCCAATGGCGGCACGGGTAGGAATAGGCGTGTACCCCCTACCCGGAAATACAAAATCACGTATATACGCATGTGATTTTGAGCAGCTCCGCCGCCCTGTAGCAGTACTTCTGCTATAGGGTGGTCGGGAAGCGATTAAGATTTGGAAATGTTTGTTTACTGTCTTTTCAGGAGTTTCTGTATACGTTCCTTGACTGTAAGGGAAAGAACTATTAGAGTTGTAGAATTAGCCTCTATGCCTGGCAGTATGCTTTAGCAGATTAGTAGTTCCAGCTCAATTTTCTTGATCAACATGCTTGCTCCAGTTCAGCATCTTAAATTAGTAAGAGATAGTGGGCTCTAATCACAAAGCGGTATCTTACCGCATCCAAGTATGGGTTACCGCACAGTGTTTTTCAAAAAGATTTTTGAAATTCACTAAAAATTCTAATTTTTTACCACATGAATTATTTTATGAAGTCATGCGGTATTTTAGTAGTATTTATTTACAGTAGTAAATACCACGTTGTTAAGGAGCAGACGGCCACCGGCATCCTTAGCAACCAGTAATAAAAGAAAATAGAAGGAAAGAGTGCTGCATAAAGGAATGATGTGAGCATGGAATTACCAGACCGGGCCATATTAATGCAAGATGGTTATATAAACTGTATTCCATGTATATAGGGCAAAACATGCATTCAAATATACTGTAACGATGTTACATAAAATAGTCTTTCATAGTAGTCTTCTAAAAATATGCCACACTAGCTCCTCCGTAAGGAACAGATGTTACTTCACCACTTAGTGTGTAACCACCACCATCAACCTCTCACTTTAAAGGTTAGACCTACTATGACTTCGGTAAATGAGCGTTTTAACCCTTTTGTGCCCTGGGTAATGAGGGTTCTTCCTTCTGGCTGGTAGGTAGTTTCTCTTCGATCCTCTCAACGATCATGAATATCTATCCAAAGCATAATAAAGGATCATAGTGCTCTCTGTATAAAAAACATTTATTTAAAAATTGAATAAAAACTACTCACACAGGCAGAGTGCACTGAACTGGTGCACCATGTGTATGTCTCCAAAGCTTTCCAACATGAGGACTGCACCTTGTGGGTAAATGTAGTGTGTCCTGACTGCCGGATGTGTATATGCACCGTATACACAACGTCTGTGCTGGTTTCTAAACAATCTCAAAAGATACAGTCTCTACCTCACTGGCTCCTCGCCCTCATGTGTTACACCAAAACGTGGCCATGACAGTTACTGATTGTTAAGGACGCCAGTGGCTGTCTGCTTCTTATCAATGTAATATTTACTACTGTAAATAGATTAAAATTACCGCATGTTTTCACTACTAAAATACTGCATGAAATACCACATAAAACAATAGTGAATTGACATTTTCAGGATTGCATGTGGTATTTGGGAAAACACCTAAATACCGCGTATGATCTGCTTTTGTGAAATGGAGCCCAGTAAGAGATAGCCCATCAAGTAGTATTCTCAGAAATTTTTAGCAATGGCAGCTTATGTATTTCTTTTTATTACAGTCTTCATTTAATTGTTGAAGAGAAAAGGATTAGAGGTAATAATGTCTATATCTCACAACTAAGATGTCTTCTGGGATCCCACTGCACACCAGGCAACAGTCTTTCTATATGCGAAATAAGGGCACCAACTATCTATTTCAGCATGTGGTGAGTTTGACAATGACCTTTGATTTTACAGAGATTAATGGGGGAGGCACTTCACATGTCCATAAATAATATATAAAGGAACCCTATTACCATCACGCATGCTCAGAGATGGCAGCACCGCTTGCATCTGTTGATGCGACCCTGTGTTTTGTGCATGCAAGGCAAAGCAACAGAGTCACCCAACCTCCACTTCTTCAGCAATTTATACTCCCCTTTCTTTTGCACCATTTAGTTATTAAAGAGAACTACCTGCTACTTCTGGATAAAGAAACCCATGTCTCTCATTTCACTTCTTCCATGTGACAGCCTGGTGCTTAATGATTGGTTAGGTTTGTCACATGGTTCTAAGCTCCATGTAAGCGCTATTAAGTTGGCCTAGAGCTTACATAGGGCTTTCCTTTCAGTTACCCATTGGCCAAACAGAGCGGCATGGGAGCAAATGAAAGGTAGGTATCTGCCGGGAGGGGGAAGTGAAAAGATCTTTTTGCTTTGTCCTGTATGGGTAGAAAACAGGGGCACTTTCACGTACCTTCACAAGGTTAGGAATTCTGAAAAACACAAAAGTTGAGGGTGTAAGTTGTTTTCACTGGTGCAGTGAGAGGAAATTCTGTGTCACACTGACCTCAGAGAAATACAGGAATGCCTTGATGTACATTAGTTACTGGAATGAAAAATCCTAATTCATGCCATCTACTATGGTAAAAAAAAATTGTTGTCCTTATTGGAGACCTCCGACATTGAAGCTCCTTCTGTTCTGCTGCTATTCACTTTAGTTATCTGTATCCCCATGGATTGTGCAGAACAGAATAAGGGTAGATGTGTAATATCAACCTGAACAAGTGTAAAGGGGCCAACACAGAACATAGGAGTGAGTTTTTAAAAGGATGGTGGAACTGATAGGGGTGAACTGACCACAAACCTTTACCTAAGGCCAAAGAAGCACCCTTAAGAGTTCTCAATTCATGTGTACTGGATGAGTACAAGTGTCGGGTTTAAACAAGGGCGAAATTTACTACACAGGAAAAAAAGCACTATTTCAACTGAAAAGATACAGTAAGTATGGTACATAAAAAAAC